ACTTTTCCCCTCTGCCTCTGTTGACCTAGACCATGCATAAATAAATAAGCACAGTAGGTTCAAGTTGTCTCGATTTGTTCAGCAGCTTACCAGTTGTTGACCTGTGTTAGTGTTTAGCTTAACATGTATTAAGTAATTTACATGTTGTTTTGACAAAATACTGGACAAAAGTAACTTATGGATAGAAAGGTTTATTTTGGTTCATATCTTAAGGTATAATCCATCTAGGGAGCCAAGTCATGGCTAGGTATTCCTTAGTCACTGATCATCACATGGTGTCAGCGACTCATGTAGCAGAGAGAGGAATTCTGATTCTTTGCTAATTTTCTCCTTTTGATGGAGTCTAAGATCTCAGCCCAAGAATTAGTACCCAGTGATATTTAGGGTAGATCTTCCTACCTCAAATAACCTAATCTTAATTCTTCACAGACTTGTCCAGAGTTTTGTCTCTTCAGTGATTTTAGACAATGTTACTTTAACAATCATTATAACCTTCAGGAAGGTAAAATAGTACAAATGTATATTACACACATACACAAATATGCATCCAAATTTATGTACTGTATAAATGTATATTTGATACCAATTATATGTGCAGTGTACAAAATACCATCATTGACCAATGTTTTTGTCTTATAAGGAAGTCTTAAATATCATAATAAGTTGGATAGTTAAAAGGTCCAATCGACTGCATGTTGTTTTGAGAAAGATTTGCCACCAAAATTACATGTATATTAGAATTGTCAGAATCTTTTTTAATTATAAGAAATGGATTGTAGACCTATACATAGTCTTTTCTTAAGTGTTTGAAACATTGAAAAACTGACATTGAGAAATTCCATGAGAGAAAAAGTGAACACACATTGTGTAGGGCCACAAAGTTCATCTTGTAATAATAGAACAATAACCCTAGCAGTCAGGTTATGAACCAAGGCACCTACTGGTTTGATCCAAAATACCATTTAAAATATTGCATGGCCTATAACCCTCACCTGAAATAGGATACTGGTGACACATTTATTAAACTTTTTAAAACTTTAGAAACTGTTTTAAGTTAAGTTTGTTTTGTAGCCTTTCTTTCTTTGCCCATTTGACCTTAAGTAATCTTAAGGTCCTAGGAACATGCGATTTCATTTCAGGCCACTGACCAGCATTCATTTGATACTGTGAGTATTTCCACCCTAGTTTCTGTGAGTAAATAAATAACCAGACTTATGCTATCCAGATAGTTCTTATTGAGCCAGAACAATTTTCTGATCCCTGAGCAACCTTAACTTTTACAAAACTTAACTTTCATAAAAGGCAAAAGATGCATAAGTACTTCATCTGACTTCATACAGCAATAGCAAATAAGAATGTCTTTTGGGCTTTGCCCTCATTACCATATGCTGATAAGCAATCAGATGGGAAAGGGCAGCCTTTGCTATGAAATTATGCACTGAATATGAATCAAACAACTGTAAAAGAGATAGAAGTTTAAAGGTGATTTCCATGTCAAATTCTTCATTTTTTGGTGTCCATGATTATAAACGAAGCACAAATGTTCTAGTGTTAAGCAAGACAGTAGTGGGATCTAAATGTCCTGATTTCTGCTTCAGCCCTTTTTACCAGCTGTTAAACTATTCAACTGCCAGTTACACACCTAGCACATTCTCAGCAATAATTATGCTTTCTCTCTGACTCACTCATATGGCTTTGTATGGAAGTGGTATCCATAGTGATTACCTTTAAGGTAAAGCATGCAAACTTTCCCTATATCATGGTGCCTTTGGTAAGCACAGGGTGATACATTAGAGCAGGCTGTTCTAGAGTCTTTGAAGAGGAAAAGTAAGGATAATAGTGAGATGTAGTAGCCATAGACGGCATACATCACAAACAAGATCTGGCAAAGTAATGGTTTTGGTGATTCAGGCTTTTTAGATTTCTATGAGAGGAGCACGGTTAGCTGTTTCACAATTCTCTTAATTTCAGGGATTATCATAGATTGTTTGGATGGAAGGAGAAATCTCTACAATGTTAGAAACACGAAAGACAAATCCGTTCCTCACATTAGCAAACGCAAGATTATTTAGGACAAAAAAACAACAACAACAACAGGAAGCTGGGACAATGGGAGGCAACGTGCATAACTAATAAACAGCAGAGTCTAGATTCTGCCAGCATCATAGAAGCCTTGTGTATTGAGGAAGGAAGGAGCTGTTTCAGGGTGTTAATCTTTTGGGGGGCTGGTTCTGACAGTTGAGTTTCATCTTTTATATCACGCTTCAAGACTAATGAGGGAAATGAACATTGCATGGTGTTAGGGAAATTCCTAAAATGGGAAACCGTGAGTTTTCAGCTGTACCTTCTGACTGGGTCATGCATGGTAACACTTGTGAGGTAGCATTTTATATGAGACCAAGGGATTAAGTATTAATAATGGAAATATTATGCTTTGCCTTCGACTGTTACTGATTTCAGTGTTAAAGTGTGTGTGTGTGTTTCCCTTTAAAAAGAAAAAAAAACCTACTGCAGCAAAAGTAATGGATTCCTGGCTCTAAGAGGCAGAGACAATGCTGCTACAACTCTATAAAGTGGGCGAGCATAAGTTGTGCTTCTCTAGAGATATCCACAGAGCTTTAATCATGAGAGGAGGACAAGAGAGTCTGGGAGAAGAAATAATGAATATACATGAAATAAGTAGACCATATAATTTATCTTGTAAACTGTGACTTTTGGGAGAAAGAAGTACTATTAATAATTCTGTCGTGACATTTGAGTACACAGATATTACGCAGGGAAAAGAGAAATATGGTTATGTTGCTGATGTGAAGATTTTAAGAAGTATACAGAGTCGGAAAAAAATTCTATGTATATCAAACAATATCTTTACAGTTACTAGACAGCGTATGTATAGTGATTAGAGAACAGATTGTTATCATGGGCATGTTTTGTAAATAAACCAGCTGGAAAGGGAAGATTCCCAATTTATATGATTTTGAATATTATTCCTATGAATTTTGAAGTGTGATGGAGAATGAATCAAAGTTTTACAATACTGTCAAAATAGGATAAAATCTTTGCTTTATATTAAAATAGGATGTTAATATTCTAGTGGGTGGAAAATGCATTGAGGAGCAAGGTTTATAAAAAGGTAAATTTTTCTTTATCTTTAAAACTGCTACTGTAAATTTAAAAACTGTCCTTTGAGGCTTATAAGAGTAAAATTTAATTAAGTTGCACAATCATGGCATTTATTCTTCCTATTATTTTATTTTTTTGTGATAGTAGTGATTTAAATTACATATTGACCAAATATTGAAAAAGAAAACCTACAGGTCTTATGTATTTGAGCATTTATCCTGCCATCGTTCTTTTGAAGATTGTGCTGAGCATTGTTCAGGTCTTTGCGAACTCGGCCTGTGACTTGGCCTTGTTGCCTTTTGCATTAGCCCTGGCCTCTTTCTCCCCTGAGACCTAGCTCTTCCCTGCCACTCTTACAAGCACCTCCTAGGTCCACTCTAGCTGTGAGGCTCATGGATGCTGCTGGAATTGCATTCTGTATCTCAGGATTGATGATCTTTACTCTTACTAAGAATGTTCTTTGTGATTTTCTTTCTATTTATGTTCGGTTTTTGATTTGGGTTTGATATATTTTTACTAAGTTTTGTGTTCCATTCTTAATTTCACCTGCATAAGCAATATGGAGTTTTACCTGAAAGTATATCAGTGCAACACCTTCAGATAGTCTCCATATAGTATAGAGGCCAGAAGAGGGCAGGGCATTAGATTTCCTGGGACTGTGGTACTGAGGCTGTTAGTTTCCATGTAGGAGCTGGCAATTGAACTCAGCTCAACTCAGGCCATCTGGGAGAGTATTCAGCACTTTCAATTGCTCAGCCATTGGCTTGCTCAGCCAAGCCCATTGATGTTGTTGTTTGGGTTTTTGTTTTGGTTTGCTTTGTTGGTATTTATACAATGTCTTAAATCAAGATATTCACACTTAAATTTGTAAATGCATATTTGAATATGTAATAGGGAAAGAAGTAGAAAGCCTGTCAGAGCTTATTATCAGAATTATCAACTCAATGCTGTTTATTGAACTGACCAATGCTTGTTTCTGTCTGTGGTTATGCTTTATTTTTATAGAGTGAAATATAATCACAGTTTTCATCAGCATTTATATTTTGGTTCTTTTTATCTATTGATTTATATCTATTTTTAAATAAATAGATGCAGAAATAGATGTAAGTCTTTTGAAATTTAAAACATCAGGAAATTGTTCAAACTTTGTTATTCATCAGTTTCATATATAACATCCAAACATCTTCAAATAATATTCAAGTTATTTGAGCTTGAATATAACACTCAATAGTTTCATCAAAACAACACAGGTGAGCTTATCCTGAGGTTATTCTAATTTTTATGAGTTTATTAGTGTAATAAACTATTTTTAGATTGTTTTTGTTAAGTAAAGGGCATGCTAGTTCCTTTTTTTGGTTTCATTTATCCTGGAAGAGCAAAAATGTCAAAATAAATTAGCGACAATTATGTTATAATCCCTTGGGGAAAACACATCTTCTATCAGCAAAATAATACTGCTGGAAATTGATTTCTTAAAGAAATTTTGTAATAATATTGATTTTTTTCTATTAACATCCAGAAAGGTAGTAATTCATAATGAATATGTCCTCAATAATCTTATAGAACATTTAGAAAATCTATGATTTCTGTGAAACTTACATTTGTGTGTGTGTGTGTGTGTGTGTGCTGGAAAATAAACATTTAAAGTGAGAATTACAAACTTATAATCCAATTAATAGAAAATTTAATTCATGTGTTATGCATTAAATTGAGCACTCTTCTATTTAATAAAATGTGAACTGAAATATGTGAAATTCAGCAAAATAAACCATTTATATTGTTTTATTTCGATAATATTTTAAAAATACATTTAGTCAATGTTTAACATGTGGGATACATATTAAGTTACTCATGTTTGTCAATTTTATTTCCTTTAGATAGATTGCTAACATACTGACTAGAAGATACAATCTTCTTTCCTGCTGATTGCATGGGAGAAAATTTTGACCTTAGAACGTGGAGATGAGGTTGCTATGGAAACTGGTAATTCTGCTGCCACTCATAAACTCTTGTGCAGGTAAAGTGTTCTATTATTATGAATTTAGATTGATAAATATATTACCACTGTATATCTTCCCTGAGATGAAACAACTTTGAAAATGCACAAGGCATGTGTTATTTGTATGACCAAGTGATAAAGCTGTGAGGGTAAGCATTACTTCAAAGAGAAAGTTCAATTCTTAAAAATACGTAAAATAACTTTTGAAACATTGCTGTTAAATTTATGAGTTTTCAAATAGGATATTTAGTAAACTATGTTTAAGGGATTTATCATTTATGAATTCATTTTTAGTGAATTTATTTAGAGTGAAGTAGTCATATATCAGAAACGAAAAATGCTGTAAAATGTTCTTTCAAGACTGAAAAACAATCTTGGAATTCTTTTTTTCTTCTTCCTCAATAACCAAAAGAGGATGACAGGTATGTTTATCCACTCAATCTAATGGCAATCATATACATTTATTAGATAAACTTCTCTTTGTAACAGATTGCCTTAAATCAAAGGCTGTGCATCACTGGGAATATCAAATTGCCACAGGCTGGCCTAACGATTCTGTGGTTTAGGACATGCTTCACAGGCCTGTGCTTTGGACTTGGCCCTGATGCACTGGATCTACAGTAAACTAGACTCATCTGAGACATAACTACTCCAAGACAGGCTCAGCCGAGTGAGCTATGCTCATTTGCCTTTCATCCACGTGGTCTTTCATCTGCTCGTGAATCAGAGTTTTCACATGGTGGCTTCTTGGGGTCTCAAAATAAAAATTTCAAGGCCACAGTCCCTTGATAGCAGAGCTCGGAGTCCGAATAGAGTCAGTTCTGTGGCATTCTTCTGATGACCACAGGTTACTCAAATAGCCTAACTTTAAAGGTCTAGAATTATCTTCAACTATCGATAAAGAGCTTTAAATGCACTTAAAGGGTCCAGGAAGAATAATGGTAACAATTGTGGCTGGGAAATTATTACCACAATCAGTTCAGAGCAGCTGATTGTGCTGTTGTTGTTGTTTAAGCGGAGTTTAGTTTTCTTTCTCTTTTTTTTTTTCAAGAGTAATTGTATTCATTTATTTAAACTAAAAGCTATCTTTTTGAATTTATTTTATTTTTTTTTTCTTATCAGTTACATTTTATTAACTCTGTATCCCAGCCGTGTCCCGCTCCCTCAATCCCTCTCAATCCCTCCCTCCCTCCCTCATCTCCACCGTGCCCCTTTCCAAGTCCACTGATGGGGGGGACCTCCTCCCCATTCATCCAATCCTGTTTTATCAAGTATCTTCAGGACTGGCTGCAAAGCCCTCCTCTGTGGTCTAAAAGGACTGCTCCTCCCTTGGGGTGTGGGGAGGTCAAAGAGCCAGCCATTGAGTGAGTTCCTGTTAGAAATAGTCCTTATTCCCCTCACTATGGGAAACCAATTGGTTACTGAGCTACCACAGGCTACATCTGAGCTGAGGTTCTAGGTTATATCCATACATGGTCCTTGGTTGAATGTCAGTCTCAGAAAAGACCCTGTGCCCGGATATATTTGGTCCTTGTGGAGCTCCTATCCTTTCCCCATCATACTAACTCCCCTTCTTTCATATGATTCCCTGTACTCTGCCGAAGGTTTGGTCATGAGTCTTTGTATCTGCTTTGAAAACACTGCTAGTTAGAGTCTTTCAGATGCCTTCAGTAGACTCCTGTCATTCTTTCAATGCACATCCCATCTGTCTTTCTAAATGAGGATTGATCATCTTACCCCATGTCTGCTCTCTTGATTATCTTTTTTAGGTGTATAGATTTCATTATGTTTATCATATCTTATAGATCTATATAAGTGAGTATATACCGTGTTTGTCTTTCTCCTTCTGGTATATTTCACTCAGAATGATCTTTTCTAGATCCCACCATTTGCCTGCAAATTTCATGATTTCCTCCTTTTTGATTGCTGAGTAGTATTCCATTGTGTAAAAATACCACAATTTTTGTACCCATTCCTCCGTTGATGGACATCTGGGTTGTTTCCAGGTTCTGGCTGTTACAAATAAAGCTGCTATAAACATGGTTGAGCAAGTATCCCTTCTGTGTACTTGAGCAAAGTTTGGGTATATACCTAGCAGTGGTATAGCTGGGTCTTGAGGAAGCACTATTTGTAATTGTCTTAGAAAGCACAAGATAGATTTCCAGAGTGGTTGTATCAGTTTACATTTCCACCAGCAGTGGAGGAGGGTTCCCCTTTCTCCACAACCTCTCCAGCATGTGTTGTCACTTGAGTTTTTCATCTTGGCCATTCTGATGGGTGTAAGGTGAAATCTCAGGGTCCTTTTGATTTGCATTTCCCTAATGGCTAATGAGGATGAGCATTTCTTTAAGTGTTTCTCTGCCTTTCGATATTCCTCTGTCGAGAATTCTCTGTTTAGCTCTGCTCCCCATTTTTTAATGGGATTTTTTTTAATTGCATTTTTAATTCTAACAGATTTAGAGTATCTGGTTTTATGTTGAGTTGTGTTTTCTTTTATGTGTGAGTGTTTTGCCTTTCTGGTACCTGAAGCTGCCGAAAGAAGGTGTCTCATACCCTGGAGCTAGAGTAGAGCTGCAAGCCACCCCTTAGGTGTGGGGAACTGAACCCAATCCTCCACAAGACTACAAGATACTCTTAACTTTTGAACTATCTCTCATCCCAATCCTGCAGGAAATTCGAGCCTTCATTGCAAGTTTACCTGCCTACATTAGGTCACAAATTTGGCACTGACAACGTCTCTGGGCTATCAGAGAAGGCCTCGGCCACCTTCCCACTGATTCTGAGTTCCCCTACCTGTGTAATGATAACTGCTATTTATGTCTTACAAACTTGTAACAATTCAGTAATAACGCCAAAATTACAAATACAACCAATCTATTTACTAGCCGTTCCGAGAGATGAAAAGCTATGAGTGCTGAAATATGGGCAGATGAACCTAAAAAGTTTGAACCCTTACAAAGGTATTCCCATAATTAGCAAATCCAACATCTCCTGGCATCACAGTCATATTTATTCGGAGTTATCACATTGTTTTGTCTTATGTCACTTCTACTTCTCTGTGAGAAGAATCGAAGTTAAATAATAATGTGTTCTTTCATATATTAAAAGGAGAGCGAAAAGTCATTAAGGGACCCCCAAATTACCCAGGTTCAAAGAACTCTATGCCTTCTTTAAATTTTAGCTTCCTGTCAAAATTCTACATTAACATTTTGCCCTTTAAATGTGTCTATTGAATTAGCATAGGCTCTCTAAAAGATCTTTTGTGTTAAATTAAAATAAAACCATTGTTCTCAGAACACATATCAAATATGAGAAATACTCTGTCTCTTCTATTAACTTCTATTTATATAATTTGGATGTGATTCAACATGTCCTTTTGCCTTATCCTAAGGGAGAAACAATCATATGTCCTTGGTGCACAGCATCATCATGAAAAAAACAGATTGGATCTATTTCTTTTAAACCATGGCCATTTCAATATGGTAATGTGGGATAAGCATTGCCCCAGAGGTAAAAGATGATGATATTACTTTACACAAGAGAGCCTTGATTTAAATCTGCTTGTTTTGTTTGAAATTTCATGGTGTTCACTACATGTGTAAACTATAATAGATTAGAGATTGGCCTCTTCCATTCCTCTTTCTTTTGTATTCGTTCTTTTTTTTTCTTCAGATTATCTATCATTTTATCTATCTATTTATTTATTACAATTTATTCACTTTGTATCCCTGCTACATTCCCCTCATCTCCTCCCAGTCCCAACCACTGTCCCTCTCCCCTCCCCTCCATGGCCTTCCCCTAGGCCCCTGATAGGGAAGGACTATTCCCCTTCCATCTGATCCTAGCCTGTCAGGTCTCACCGAAGCTGGCTGCATCATCTTACTCTGTGGCCTGGCAAAGCTGCATCCCCCCACCCCCAAAGGGGAATTAATCAAAGAGCCAGACACTGAGTTCATGTCAGATACAGCACCTGTTCCCCTTACTAGGAACCCACTTGGACACTAAGAAGCCTAAGGATTTCCACTGAGCAGGGGGTCTAGGTCCTCTCCATGCATGGTCCTTTGTTGAAATATCAGTCTCTGCAGGACCCCTGGGCTTTAGTTCAGGCAAGTCCTTCACAATTTTCTGTTTCCCTTCCTATTTTCACTGTTATAATCCACTAAAATGTATGTATTTTTAGTTCCTTTATATCACAATTTAAAACATAAACTTTCATTGTTCACTTTTGTGTTTTCTGTTGTTTAATGTACTTCACAGGCTTTTCTCACAGATGCCACAGATACTAGACCCAGGGTCTTTGCAATGACTCGTAGTATGATTAACCAAACAACATTAATCCTAAAAGAGGTTTTTCGTTTGATCACTTAAAAATGTATTTGTTTTGCTTTAGTATTTTTTATATTAGGAAAAGAACAATGCCAATTTAATTGAGAACACAATTGTTAAATAAAGACAACGGAAGAAAGAGAAAACAGGGAACAGGTCAGGAGCCTGCCACAGAGGGCCTCTGATAGGCTCTACCCTGCAGGGTATCAAAGCAGATGCTGAGACTTATGGCCAAACTTTGAGCAGAGTGCAGGGAATCTTATGAAAGAAGTGGGAAACAGTAAGATCTGGAGAGGTCATGAACCCCACAAGGAGAGCAACAGAACAAAATAATCTGAGTACAGGGGTCTTTTGAGACTGATACTCCAACCAAGGACCATGCATGGAGATAATGTAGAACACCTGCACAGATGTAGCCCATGGCAATTCAGTGTCCAAGTGGGTTCCATAGTAATGGGAACAGGGACTGCCTCTGACATGAACTGATTGGTCTGCTCTTTGCTCACCTCCCCTTGAGGAGGGAGCAGCCTTACCAGGCCAGAGAAGGAAGACAATACAGCCACTCCTGATGAGACCTGATAGACTAGAATCAGAAAGAAGGAGAGGAAGACCTCCCCTATCAGTGGACTTAGGGAGGGGCATGCGTGGAGTACTGGAAAAAGGGGAGGGAGGGTAGGATTAGGAGGGGAGGA